ACGGCTGCAGCTGCCACGTCAGAAGTTCACGTGCTAACGAAAAATCCATCATTTGCAAATGAGGTTTGTATTTCTCCTTCCCCCTGTTTTTTGGGCAAAACTTCAATTCATGTTTGGGTTGCTTATTTCCGCTGTCAAAGCGTTTGTCTGGGAATTGGGATGAATTGGGCACCCCAAAAACCCATCAAAATCCAATATTCTCATTACAATTGCCATACACTGGGGTATCACTAGGGTATCACAACCTCACCCTCCAGAATTGGCTTTCAACTCCAAGGACATTAGTCTGCAGCACCCGCAGCACCTGGGTCTCAGACTGGGACGTCTTCGTCTTGGCTTTCACTGTGGCATCCTCCCAAATTCAGGCGAGTTGGCGGGCCAAAAAAAGCTACTTGGCAGAAAGTGGGAAGATCACTGCCACCATCATCATCATCATCATCATCATCATCATCAGCATCATCCTCATCCTCAGCCTCATTCTCATCATCATCGCCCTTATCATTATCATCATCAGCATCATCCTCATCCTCACCCTCATCCTCATCATCATCGCCCTTATCATCATCATCATCATCAGCAGCAGCAGCATCATCAGCATCATCCTCACCCTCATCCTCATCATCATCGCCCTTATCATCATCATCATCATCATCACCATCATCATCGACCATCATCATCGCCGTCGGCGTCATCATCATCAACAACCATCATCATCATCATCATCATCATGACCACCATCATCGTCATCATCATCATCATCATCATCGTCATCATCATCGCCATCATCGTCATCACCATCGCCATCATCATCATCATCACCACCATCATCATCATCATCATCACAATCATCGTCATCATCATCACCACCATCGCCATCATCATCGCCATCATCATCAGCGTCATCCTCATCGTCATCGTCATCGTCGTCATCATCATCATCATCGCCGTCATCATCGTCAGCATCATTGTCATCATCACCACCACCATCGCCATCATCATCGCCATCATCGTCATCATCATCGTCATCATCACCATTGTCGTCAACATCATCATCATCATCATCATCATCATCATCATCCTCGTCATCATCATGGTCGTCATCGTCATCGTCGTCCTCACCATCATCATCACCATCATCATCGTTGTCATCATCATTGTCATCATCATCATCATTATCATCATCGTCATCAGCATGACCATCGTTGTCAACGTCATCGTCGTTGTCATCGTCATCATTGTCAACATCATCATCATCGTCGTCGTCATCATCGTCGCCGTCGTCATCATCATCATCGTTGTCATCATCATTGTCATTCTCCTCCTCCTCATCATCATCATCATCATCGTCATCATCATCATTGTCATTCTCCTCCTTCATCATCATCATCATCATCATCGTCATCATCATCATCGCCTTCATCATCATCATCATCATCATCGTCATCGTCATCATCGTAATCATCATCATCATCATCACCATCATCATCATCATCATCATCACCATCATCATCACCATCATCGTCATCATCATCACCACCATCGTCATCATCATCGCCATCATCGTCATCACCATCGCCATCATCATCATCATCATCATCACAATCATCGTCATCATCACCACCATCGCCATCATCATCGCCATCATCATCAGCGTCATCCTCATCGTCATCGTCATCGTCGTCATCATCATCATCATCGTCGTCATCACCGTCAGCATCATTGTCATCATCACCACCACCATCGCCATCATCATCGCCATCATCGTCGTCATCATCACCACCATCGCCATCATAATCGCCATCATCATCATCATCATCATCATCATCATCATCATCATCATCACCACCATCGCCATCATCATCGCCATCATCGTCATCATCGTCATCATAATCATCATCGTCGTCGTCATCGTCACCATCATCATCATCATCATCATCATCATCTTCTTCTTCTTGCAATTTTTGTTCACCTTTATCTCCCCAAATTCCCCCCCGGCTCCCCCTTGGCTCCTGGCGCACTTTGTTGCCGCGCCCAGCGCCCTTGGCGCCCTTAGCCCCCTTGGCATCCTTGGCGCCCTTGGCGCCCTCGCTGTTTCGGTTCGAGGCAAAGGTCTGCTGGAATTTGCCGAAGCGCGGAGCGGTCGTCGACACCTGGGTGTGTTGTGTTTGAATGGGCAGACATGGAAATATCTATGTTTGATAAATTGGTTAACAAATGGATTCTCATGATACCTAGGGTCATCTAGGGTCATTTTGTGGCTAGCTGGGTTCGAGATTGGCTTTAACATGCTTTAAACAAACATAAAAGCAATCTCATATGGGATTGGGATGGGTGAGGTTGGGGAATCGGGTTGGGATTGTTGCATCCGATGCCATTCATATATATATATATATATCATAGCTTTGTTCGCTCACCAATCCAATATCAATACATTATGGATGATCTGGGGCTTGGGAATGGAGATCGTCTACCAAAGTTGGGCCCATGGTGAGGCCAGCACTTGGGCCCATGGTGAGCTCAGTCTGACGTCGCGCTTGATCAACGGTAGCGACATGTAGCGACCGTGTCCACCCCCGGAATGTTCAAAATCTCTTTCAATTTTCAATATGGCTTCTGCATGGGATTTAACAGCTAGACGCTGTAGCGATTTTGGGGATGATTCCCCTGACTGTACAGTAATTACCCTCTGGTAAACCAACGTAACTATGGAAAATCACCATTTTTAATGCGAAAATCCACTATAAATGGCCAGTTTCAATAGCTATGTTAAATTACCAGAGGGTATCTATGATTTGATAAAATCCTTGTGAGGACACTACCGCGTGCCTCATCCTGTGGTCCCTAACTGTTTGTGTTCAGCCATATATCCCCTTCCCTTTAAGCCATGGTTTTTGGGGCCCATGGTTTAGGTGATCCTGTTCTACTGCAATTTAATGTGACTGAAACCTCAAAAAGAATCCATCGACATCAATATAATGTCTGAAACCTAATATTCCTATAGTCGTCATTACTCATATTCATAGATACTAAGAGTAATCATCTACCAAAATGATCCAGAGGATTCCATAGGTCAATAGATGAGCACTACTTCATGTAGCTGAGACCCTGACCCGCAAGCCGGGCAACGCGGGAACGCCCTGGACTGGCACCTCGGAGTTCGTTTCGTGACAATCTGAGTACTTTTACCATGTATGTATATATGTATATCTACTACTATAAGAATCAATAGTTTATGCAGTAATTCATAGTAATTCATATCAATGATTATGATTGTATAATCTGTATAATAATCTGTGGTTTATGGTGGTTTACCATGTTTTATCGCATAATCTTTAAGTGCGTTTTATGATTTTTTTGGGTACCTCGAGTGTCTAGGTATGTAGCTTAAGTGGTGAATATGTGGTGGATATGGAAAATATATGGTGGATTGAGGGTAGGAAACTTGACCAGATTGACAATTGACTAATGATGGCATTTAAACAGTTTAGGTTTAAACAGTTTAGGTTTAAACAGTTTAGGGTTTAGACCAATGAACATGATGAGATAACCACCAATAACCACCAATATTGGGGATTACTTCGTTTGATTTCGGCTTTCTAATTTTCTAGTAGATACATGGTAAGCCGTGGTTTCTACTGTTTGAACCTCGCCGTGATTTTTTCCAAAAAAAGATCGCCCATGAAGCAATTCTGAAACCATGTGGTCATTGAACTGGGAAATCCCGAAGAAAATCCATTTGGGGGTCATGTAGATTTCCGTCGAAGCTCAGACTTGGATGGTTCCTGAAACTTAGCGGCTAGTGCGGCGCCACCTAGGCAGGTGATCATCGCTAATCCATCCCAAAGCCGGGAATCTGCATGTGTCTGGATGCATAGCTAATAAACTAACATAGCTATTGAAAATATTGAAAATGGCTTGGCTCATTGAAGATATTGAAGATTTACCTATTAAAATTATTTAAAATTGAGATGTTCAATAGTTATGTTGGTTTATGAGAGGGTGATTTGTATCAAATGTCACTCGATGTCACTTGTTCATGAACCACTGGACAGTTGTGTGGTCTGAACCAGACAACATCACCATGAGCCAAGGTGCATTTTTTTGACCCCATGAACATTGCACACATGGTGAAATAACAATTCATATCTGAATGGGGAACGTATGTTGTGAAGTGTTGTCAAGTGTCACGAAGAATTGAGTGGGCCGTCTCGTGGTCTGAGGTGCCTGATGAAGATCAATCTTGGGGAGATAAACAGCAGTTTATAATAGTTTGTATAGAATTCAAAAACCCTCCAGCAATAAACATTGGAGAAAATCACCCATACATGGAAGTTTTTAACGGAGAAATCATCTATAAATGGGGAGTTTGCCATTGACACGTTTGATTACTGAAGAAGAAACCGCCTGAAAAGCAATTTTCAGAGGAATGCACACCATTTCATCATTGAAGGCTTCCCGGATCTGGTTCGATCTAACCGAACCTCCAGTTCCCACACAGCCCCCTTTTCACCGTGCGGTTTCAAGGCCGCATTGCTTGTGGCGGTTTTGAGGGGCCGCATTGCTTGTTTTCCAGCCCATGATATGTAAGTCTTGTATCCTTGAGATCTCCTGGATTTTATTTGGGGGCATGATCCTACACCTTAATCATCCTTGCGTGAACTCCATGAAGAAACGCAGCGCAACAGGCATTGTACCCAGTTCATCCCAGTTCGATGATTTAGCTCCTAAAAATGTGGTGTTTTTCCTCAGCAAACTGACTGACCGTTTCCTGAAGGGTTATTAACCAGTATATACCAGTATGAATCATGATATAATCATGATATGTTCATGATAATCCCATTAAATCACCATCCTAGTGCCATCAAGCCCATTAAATCACTCTAAAATCCATCAAACACCCATGAACAATCACCAAATAGATCACAAATCACATTAAAATACGAGTCAAATCCCATGAAATACTGGAATCTACTGGAAATCACATGTGATTTACCGTAATTTTTTATGTCACTCTCTGCCGGGCCGAGCCATGCCGCTTCAACCCCATCCCGGTTCGCTTGCCGTGGTGAAACCGACGTCCCGTCCGTCGTCCGGCGCTCATCGGGGTGGACCCCTTTGACCTCCCTTGTAGCCACCACCAGCGTAGCCACTGTCATAGCCTTAGGTGAAAACTCCCTGTGCTGAGACTGGAATCTCTATATCATCTATATGTCAAAAATGTCTGATTACCAAATATATTAGTTATTAGTTTTATGATATGTGATGATCTGTGTATATGTGTGATATATTTGTGATTAGTATGTTTATTCTTGAATTTCTTACTATACATACTATATTTATTGACATTGTAATCAACACACAATCATATTTGAAAAAAAACAGAAAATCCATCAAAGAATGGCAACTGCGGCAACAATCATTAGAACAAAAGTAGGAATCACGCTAGGCTGACCAATCACAACAGAAACATGAAGAACTTATTACGAAATTATTGTGAAACTTGCTTCATCATATCCTGGAACCTGACACAATCGACAAGAAATGATTGTCCGTCATGGTACTGAAGATTATATATATATACCACTATAATCCATTATATACCTATTATATATTATTACTATTACTGGAAATCAGCAGCGCATCATGAAAGTGTGATTGTCGCTCAGATGCGCTGATTTCATGGGTGACCACCCAGCAATAGATGGCCCAGATTTGCCCTGATTGGTGGTTTGTGCTATTTGGTGCTTGAACCCTTGGGTGGATCACCAACCTGTGCGGGGTTGAATCGCCTGCTTCCTGCAACATCTCCGATCACTACACCCCCAACCTGAGAGGAGTATCCCAGTGGTGATAGGTTCCTAGGCTTATTGAAATGGCGCAGTTCCAATTTCTGTTGCTCAAATCTCACCTGTTTTTCACTATATTCTTCCCAACTGGGCCGAATCATGCTGAATCCATACTCTGCTGACTCCAATCCCCTACGGCCATACGGTTTCATTGCGCCAAGCCCGACCAACTTTGGTCTGATCCTCCTCCAACATCCCGACCACTTGGAGGATCATCTCAGTAAGAGTCAGTGGACACCATAATTATAATCCGATTTATAGATAGGATAACCTACTTAGGGGACTTAATCACCTCAGGGTTACTAACCATTAAGATCTAAGAATCTAAGTGGGATGATGATTCTCTAGTCTTATCAACCACCTACGAAATTTTACTGCTGCTAAGTGTAGAACCTCCAAGCCCCAACCCACCGACCCACCGTGCCCCGCGACGTGTCTTCGGCGGCGCCCTCTGCGGCGGCGGCGGAGCCGGGCGCCGGGAGTAGCTCTCGCCGCCGTAGCTGCGCGGCGCCTCGTTGCGCCCGCCCCGGTCGCCCCGGTCGCGGTCGCGGCGGACGTCCCCGCGGCCATCGCGGTCACGGGGGCCTTGGTGCGGCCCTTGGATGTTGCTAAAAAGCTCTGGCAATATATATGGTGTAGCTGTGGAAAATCATTGCTTGATCATAAATCGATGTAATTAGATCATCTGATACTCTTTCGGCTTCTCAAAATTGGCAGGTAAGTCGGCGAAACCTATTCGTAAGATGTTCTATACCCGGTTATAGCAGTCTGAAGGGGATGGAACCCAGTTATTAACGAGTTAAGGAACTCAATGGCCCATCAAAGTGGGATGTAGGATTCACTGGTTGCAATGACTACATCATCATCCCAATGGGTGATCAGAAGATTGAGCCATGATGGGGGAAATAGCATAGAACCTGAGGTTTCCAGACCTCATTATCCTCATTCTCTTCATTTTTGAATGGATGTTTCATCCATTTCTGGACAACCCCACATGGGGTGAACCTGGAGACTTAACCCAACAAAAAATTAATAAAAACTACCCCTATAGGTTTTATTATTTGGGGGGGACGTTTAGTATTAGGGTGAAGGGATTTGAGGGATCACATCACTCAAACTATCCCACCCTCCAAGCCTCGACCAAAACCCTTGTGCGATCCCCTTTAAAAAATGCTAATATTAATCCCATCATTTTCTTATCGTTTTCCTTGGTGAACCTGCCTCCGCAGGTTCTGGCCATCAAGCCCTACCTATCATTTCCCACGGTTTACCATTAAAATCGCCAGAAATCATCCCGACAAAAATATCCTATATATGAATGTCCCATTTTTTTTGCCTTGGAATTTCTTGGATTTCTTAGATGAAAATCCCTGAAAAATCCATGATAGCCCAATTTCCATGAAAATCCATGACAAATCCATAAAAATCAATGAACAATCTATATCCCATAGGATCCATGTATGGTATATATGCTAACATTTGGGGTATATTGATGGTAAATGTTACCATATTATATAGCATACATGGATCCTATGGATATGGAAAATCCACGAAAAATCCCCTCCACTTTTTCCCGCCCGAGGCTCCAGAGGTTCTGGCCATGTCCCGCTCCGTGCGCTCGTAGGGCCGCTTCGTCGCGCCGTATCTCGGCGGCGCTGCCGGGGGCGCCGGCGGTGGAGGCCGCCGGTCGTCGCGGGGCCAGTCGCGGTCACGGCCCCCACGGGGTCCCGCGTCGCGGCGGGGCTCGCCTGGGGGAGGATTTCATGGGGATTTATGGGGATTTTGATGGAGAATTGTTGGGAAATTGGATGGAAAATGATGGGACAATTTGGAGTGTGGGACTTGCTGGTTTCAAAAGGGAAGCGATGGGAGCAACAGCAAGTCTTGACTTGGGAATTCAGCAAAGACTGGATATGACTGGATGCATTGGCTGTAACTCAGCAGAAGCTTGACTTCTAACTGCGGCAATTGCGTTGACTTGATCTTTTAAAGGCAAAAATGTCTGATAAGTAACCCTGGTTAGTACGAGTAAGTCCCCTAACTGGATTATAACGGATTATCCCATTTACCATCTGGTTATTTAACATAGCCATGGAAAATCCCTTATAAATGAAGGTTTTAATGGGAACATCATCTATAAATGGTCCATTTTCCATGGCTATGTTAAATAACCAGAGGGTATGACAAACTGGGATGATCCCCCAGAACATGAGATGAAATGCAGTAATGCAGCAACAAAACCTGGAGAAAGCATAACAGAATGAGGCTTGCAACAAAGTAAGTGGGCTGGGATTTTATGGTCATCCAAGCTAACAATGACTGAGATTTCTTCCAACTGGATTAGCTTGCACCGGGTTGGGCATGTGCCTCAAATTTAAACAACCTCAGGAACTTTAGCAGGGCAGTGAATCAACAAGGAAGGAACGGGGATGCCAGCAGTAGCTGCCTCAAAAGCTATCCCACCAATTTTCTCAACAATACGACTTGCGATATCTTGCGATCTTCAAGGCTAGGCGGGAGTTGCAGTAACAGCCCGCAAAACTTCCAAATTTCGCCAGCAAAAATGTTGATTTCAGTGGAAAGAATGGGGATTTGATCAACAACTTCGTGGATTCAACATGATTCAACCACCAGTGGGGAGATAGACTGCAACAAGCAGTCACTGAAGGTGGCTAACCAAGAAATCATAGTGGATCATGGTCCGGGAGGTGGCTAGGTGTCCACTTGGCCCGGCTCAGTTCGATGGATCCATATGAAAAATGGTGGTTTTTCCATGGCAGTTGGGGGAAATCCTCGAGAAATGGAAGTTCATAGCTGGAACAATCATAAACCGTACATTTTTTCTATGATGCAAACTGATGCAAACTCATTCCAGTTAGTAACTGGTTAGTAACCCTGCTGCAAGTCCCCTAGGGTTGTCCCACTCCAAACTGAGTGAACCAAGCCCACTTACTCTCCAAGTCCACCAGAGGGTCCTCCCGCTCCCTTCACCGCACCAAGGCACGATCATAGCCCCTAGGATTGGCCTTCCCGCGCTCGTCACGATCGCGGTCGCCCTTGCCTAAGCTTCCAAAACAGAGCTACAGCATGAAAAACAGGGCATCAAGTTTTATGGGTTGGATATCAGTGGGCATGTAATGGTTTATAACTATCCAACTGCAATTCATCGCACCATTCATATCAAGACCCCACAAGAAACTCTGGTTCACTAGGGGGATGAAAACACCTAGTGGGACCATTGCTGGATGTGTTTAATATTACGGGGGTAGGATTAATGGATATTAATGGATCGAAGCCAAATGATGTTTTTTTTCAATGAAAACCAGATTTTTTTGGAGTTCCATCTTGGTCCTCAAGACGGTGACATTCGCTGGTCCGAAAATCGAATACAATATGGATCAACCATGATCTACCAATGGCATAAAAGAGTGGGGAAGAGTTTGTCTGATGGGTAGGGGGGCCCCATCCCAAACATGTTGAAATCCATTGAAAACATGATGGAAATAGGTGAACATCAATCAAAGACAAACTAAATCAAACTAGTGTGAAGTCTTTCCAAGATGGTAGTTTGATGACGGTTCCCCAATCATTTCCAGGTGTTCATCTTTTCTATCTTTTTTTTGGGGGTGCTATAGATCAAACATGATCAAACTAAATCAAACTAGAGGAAACTACAGTAGGACAAAATAAACCAGTTTGACTACATTGTCTTGGATTCATCTACCCAAAGTTTAGCGGTGACAAAACGTCACCCATCCTATCCATGCAAGACCCAGTATGCTATGATATATATATATATATCCATTCTTGCTGGAAAAAATATTTTGTTGGTTAACTCGCACATGTTTGCTGCCTACCTCAGGCAATTTTGAACTCGTTCTATCCCCAGATTGGGGCAGAAATCAATCCATTCATCCATGAATTTCATATCCCCATTCTACCACCATGGATTCTCCATATTCTTCTTGGTGGAACTCCTAAGTTTTCCACATTTTCCCAACATTTGCCCAGCCCCCAGGGGGCCCAGAGGGCCCTGGCGCCCCCTTGGGGGCCCCCGTGCCCTGAATTTTCGTCCAGCAGCCACGATCCTTTCCATAGCCGCGGTCGCCCTTGCCATATCTGTTGCCTTTGCCCCGATCCCGATCGCCGTAACGCTCTCGGTCGCCTGAGTGGTACAGGCTCCAAAGTGATTAGTACATCCTAAATATTCTTAGTGAAGTTAAGTAGCTAAATTTGAGGTCCCCAAGTTTGCCAAGTTGACTTGTTTGAGGTCCCTAGTAATGTGGGCAAAACAATGCCATAAACCACACATGACTGGGAATGGTAAACATACCACCTATTTATGGTGATTCGGGGGATTGTTTATGATTGTTTTACCCGAATTATATCCCAAATATACTTAGTGAAGTTAAGCTAAATGAGGTCCCCAAGATTGCTAATTTGACTTGTAAATTGTTTGGGTTTGTGGCGGGTAAAACGAACTAGGTCATGGGGTTTATGAATCAACTTATACTTAAACCTCACCTTGCAGGCTCCAAATGGCCTATTCCAAAAACAAAATGATTAGTAATTATACCTTAACTCCTCTCAAGCCTATTTAATCTTTATAGATTTATAAATGTATCGTATATAGGGGAGCCATGTCCTACTTGTCTTTGATCCAAGCTTTAGGAGGTGGCCAATCCTAGGCCATTTTTTCTTGGCCACAAAACCGTGGGTTTTTCCCCTTAACTTGATCTACAAAAGGTTCGAAATGGCTATGGATCAATACCTATTAATACCATTTTTAGGGGAATGAACATCCATTTACCAGCTATTTTGATGTTCACCAGGGGTACAAGGTTTTGACACACTGCCAAATCAACAATGATAATAATGGCTTCCAAGAAAAGTGTTTGCGAAGTTGTTTTGCTCATGAGGACTTGCTGACCTGAAATGTTGTGTTTAGGGAAATTGATCCAGATTATTGCTGGTTGGTGGTTTTAACCATCTTGAAAAATGATTTATTTCGTCAATGGGAAGGATGACATCCCATATATGAAATGGAAATATTCCAAGTCATGTTTGAAACCACCAACCAGTTGTTATAAATGGGTTATAATCCCATTAAGTATAGATATATCACCAACCAGTTGTAGTAGTACAGTAATTCATGCCATGGCATTTCCACCATTTCAACGCCTCACCATGATTCACCAATGACGTGCGGAGGCTCCTGGTTTAACAGCCCATGGAAGCCAAAGAATGATGGAAATCGCATCAATCAATGGATTGGTTCCAGTCGGAAAATCTTCAGGGATTTTCCATGGATTTTCCATGGGATTTTCCGAACAAAATCTGAGGTGTTTCCTGTAAGTTTTCCCTTTTTAACCAATCCAGTGAACCAAATCGAGCAGGAATAAGTTGACGCTTAAAAAATGCGGTGAATTCTAGGCTGTAGATGGGATAAGGCAACGAACTCATGGGGGTTAAAAACCAACTTACCCTCTGGTAAACTAACATAACTATGGAAAATCACCATTCTTTTATGGGTAAATCAACTATAGATGGCAATTTTCAATAGCCATGTTTGTTTACCAGAGGGTACATCTGGTAGGTCTCAGCTTGTCTATACGTACTATTTATGACTAAACTTGGGAAGGAGCATTGTGTCGAGATACATTGAAATAAGGAACATATTGAACAATGTGGAGATACATTCAGCAATCAATTAGGATCATCAACGCCCCGCAAGCAAACATAGGCTGACCATGACGGATTTGGAATGTTTTGAATGATGGACCTTGAATGTTTGGAGTAATGAATGTGAAAGGCTTTGAAAAACAAAATCTCATGTTCCTTGGGTGATATCCACATGTATCCACAGTGTTGTGAGATGCTGTGAGTTCTGCGCATGTTTTCGCAGCCCGATTTTCGATCAGGCCCCCCATTCCTCTACATCTCCAATTGTAGGGATTGCCCCATGGAGAAACGATACCATACAACAAGCAGACAAGCACCATTTCTAAATGGCGCTCTTATTCATAACTAACCTTAGATATCCTCAAACCTCCCCAGCTCCCCCTTCAAACAGTCAATCCATTGCAGCATATTCTGTTTGTATCCATTCATCCAGATTTATGGCACTAGATTGATCCATTACTTTGCCAAAAATTCAGCACCCAGTATTCAAACGTGGCTTTCCGGAAAATCCCCCATTTAGTTTCTTGATTTTCCCATAAACCTACATTTATAAATCATGTCTAGTGGATTTTCCTGCGGCCATCTGCGGCCCGCCACGTTTGAGGACACCGGTCACCGGCGTCCCGGAAACCGATGGTGCCAGGTTGCCATAGCGATCGCCATGCCGGTCGTGGCGTGCGTCCTCGTCTCCCCGGAACTCCTGGGGGGCTTACGACCACGCAGAAGAAGGTTTCAAGCGGTGGGAATACCAACTATATTCCAACTACCCTCTGGTAATTTAACGTAGCTATGGAAAATCACAATTTTTGATGGGAAAACTCACTATAAATGGCCATTTTCAATAGCTATGTTAGTTTACCAGAGGGTATACCTCGTTATACCTCGTTAATATAAGGGAATACCAAGGTCTTCAACATGATTTTACTGCTTGGTATTCCCCCCCTATTAAGATATGAGGAGTTTACAAAAAAAACATGGAAAAAAGTTAACCCCAAAGTCTACGCCCTGGAAATCATTGGAAATCGCACGCACCGTCAAGATGGGTATCCCATCCATAGAGTTCCATTCGTGAAACGCCGTGCCCCCGCCCCGGGGCCTTGCGGAACTTGGGCGCCGAGGGCGTGGTCTTCTCGCTCCGCGTCAAGCGCAGCTGCGCCGAGGCGTCGCCGGCGTCCAGCTTGGAGAATCGCAGGCGACGGGCGTCCTGCGCCGTGGCAGGGATGCTGGTGCTAGGGAGGATTTATCATGGTGAGTTAGGTGGTGATTCATGGGGAATTAATTGGATGATAATTTTTGATAATGGTGATTAATGGTGACTAATGGTGAGTAGGTGTCAAACAGGAGATTTTTTTTTGGATTTAACATGATTTGAAATTAATTTAATTAAACCTCAGTAAATCTCATTATATAAATCACCACTATTAAAAAAAACAGTATATGAAGCTCACTAAACCCCATCAAATTCCGGAAATATCCCATAACTCATATCAAATTCTGAATAGAATCCCAGTAAATCCCTTCAAATCCCAGTAAATGTCAAGAAATCCCCTTAAATCATATTAAATCCACCTTGTATTTATCTTGGCGTACCCCAAGTTCAACTGCCACAGGCCCTTGCCTCACCGGAGGCTGCGCTGGCTGCTGAATCCATATTAGCATATGGGGATGTTTAAGGATTGCTAAAATTAACAAGTAAAAATTGGGGGATGGGATATGATGGGATGGGATGGGCGCAAGAGAGGGCAGTTGGGTAGGAGTTTCTATAAGTGGGCACCCTCAAGCGAACCTTGTTAAAACCCCAACTGAGCAGAAACCGTTCAGGGCTCATGGCGAATCAAACAGATCCCCTGCAAAAAAAAAGGTCAGACGGTCACCTGCCGTCCACCCAGTGATACGAACAATATGTTTATCCATTGCTGGTAAAATCCCAATTATCATTGGTTATATGATCCTCATTTCAAGTCTTCATATCCGCATGTTGTTGGCTGAATCCCCATTTTCAGTTTGGTGTCCCAAGAAATCTGAATCCCCATGAACCCACCGTTGGTGACTCAATCTCAGGGTCTTGGTTCTTCTATGCCAAAGGGAACCCGCCTCGGTCAAGCGCACGAAGTTCTCAAAGGGCGTGTCATCTGATAACTGAGGATCCAGGAGAGATTTCCTCGGGCGCGCTGCAATGGGGCCCCGACATGTTTGTTGGTTTAGTTCCTCATGCTAACGGTTAGTGTTAATTATATACCCTTACTCAAGCCAACAGTTTTCACCAAGTTCTTGGAGCTTCAATTTCGTTATATAAATATCATTATATAAATGCCATAGTAAATGCCATATGAATCACCAGTTTTGAATCACCAGTTTTGCGGCTCCCACCTTGCAGGAGGAAGGGAGTCGGAGCTGTCGAACGAACTTGGATGTGGACCATAAAACCCTACGCAGCTATGCTAAACCACCTATATATGGAGGTTTCGTGAACTAGGGGTACCCCTAAATCATCCATTTTCATAGGATTTTCCATGAAATAAACCATCCAGCTATTGGGGTACCCCCATTTATGGAAACCCCTATATAGACTTACATAGACTTCCATAGGCTTCTACTAACATCTACTAACCAACTTGGTCTCGCGATTCAGTTTCCTGCGGCCATGAACGCATCAGGTAAAGAAGCGATCCAACTATCATGTGGTTGGGAAACTCTTAGTCTTTGTAGCTCCAACTGGTTCCCCATTTATAAAATAGATCACAAATGGTAAAACATGGTACGATATTATGGTAAAACCATAGCTGCCCCTTTTTATAACATCTAAAACTCACTGGTAAAACATGGTGAAACATGGTAAAACCCATGGTAAAATCAAGAACCACATAACTGGTTGGTGGTTTGGAACATGACTTTTATTTTTCATCTATTGGGAATGTCATCCTCCCAACTGACTCATACAGTACTTTTCAGAGGAGTGACGAAAAAACACCAACCAGTATCACTATATCATCATTATGAAGAAAATCATATATCATATATCATATCACTATATAGTTATATAGTTGGAGATCAAACATATCATGGTATATATAGTTATATAGTTATATAGATCAAACATATCATATATCATATAACTATATAGTTATATAGTTATATACTAACCACCAATTTTCAGAAGCTCCTCAGCCCTCAGCTCAGCATCGAAGGAATCACTTCCATGGTATCCTTCACCATCTCCAGCAAGTCCTCCAGCGAGGTCACGCCAAAGTGCCGGACCCTCAACGCTCTCCTGGAGGCTCGGCGAGGCGGGCTGGTTGGGCCATCGGAATGGCTGGTGATTGAAGCCAAAATCACCAGGGATTTCCATGGGGATTTTGAGCTAAGTTGGTTTATAACCACAATAATATCATGGTTTTAATGGGAGATATACATAGATATACCGAACTTGTTTCCATGGCTGTGTTTTATCAACCAATTTTTACATAACTGGGGGGCCTCACATTGTGGGAAAAGTGGAAGTCGATTTGTAGCTTCAACAGGTCAATTCCTGTATGTTCCAGTAAATTACCAATTTGACAGTGAACATATACTTTTTCTATTGATTCTATTGGAAGGTAATCTGACAGTCGCCTATCTGGCAGGGTCTATGTTAATTTGGGGCATGGTAACTCGTTCGGGTTAAGATTAATGCAATTCAACAGATTCCAAGCATTAAACATGTTGCAATTGCAGATGCTGCTCAAACTGATTGGAACTGACGAAATCCGCGAATCACAAGGTATCCCAAAGTGATGATTGAACGTCTAAACTGGTTCAAATTGACAAAGCCCACTAAAAATTATGCCTCGTGGGATCAAAGAATAATAAAAAAAGCCACTGAGTGATTTACAGACTACCCTCTGGTACATAGCTAGTGAACATGGCCATTTATAGTGGATTTACCCATTGAAAATGGTGATTTTCCATAGTTATGTTAGTTTACCAGAGGGTAAAAGGACTCAGAAAAAATGATAAAAAAATGCAGACTGGACCACGAAGTTCCCCGCGATGGTGTTAACTGCGTTGTTCCATGGCCCGCCACTTGAACGCTTGAACCATGATTGCGACTTGATATCCCAGCCACCCACGCCATCAGTAGAACAGATCATCTTCCAACCCCCTGGTTTTTTCGAGTTTTCAGGTGAACACGACCTCGTTTGAAGGGTTTATGGCACCCCAAGAGCCAATAGTTTATCCATTGATTAATCATCCAACATTTTTTGGTACCCACCTTTAACCACGACCCACAAATCCCATGACAATATCATACCTTTGCCCATTACAGTAAGATTTCAATGGTGTTGCATCCCGCATCCCTCCTGTTTCCGCAAACGCAAAAAAGTGCGTTGCAGGGGGCCAACATGGGCCCTCCGTTGAACCGAGGCTCCTATAGAAGACTTCATAGTAATACTCCGTATGGCTCTCATGGAAAGTCACCTGGCAACCCTTTCAGCTGTGCTCCCCCCCAGATACCCGGGGGGATATTGAAGAAACAAAGAGGTAAACCTAAACCTCACATTTCAAGCGGGAAAATAAATGATCACAGTGATTCATGTACGATATTTGAGCTAGAATGGGCTAGAACAACCCTATTTTTCATGCCAATATTGGTGAATAAAAAGGAGCAAGCTGCACCCAATTGCATGACTATTCCGAATCAACAGTGCTGTTAATCAGCTGCCCGCTGCCCTGCCCTGCGTACACGTTGAGGATCGTTCATGGCATGTTTGTAGCCATGCACCAGCAAGTGCAGTTGGACCTGATGCCAGCCGAAGCCCTTGGGGTTGGAATTCATTGGGAAACCCCAGAAACATGACTCAAATCTACTCATGGTGGATGTTCCAGAGCGAAGTCGTTGCTGACTCTGGGGTGGTAAAGAAAGTGCTGCCCCAGTGGTTTCTGGAGCATTGCGTGCAGTTTCTGCACCTCCAGCATTTGTTGCTAAAATATGGACCCAGCCGAAACAGAAGTGGGGGTGGAAAAAACAAGGCTAACTCACCCGCGATTTGGAGGGTTTTAGCCAAAAACCAGCATTGATTGGCTGGACAGCGTCTGTTCCTCCATTTTTGTCACAACATTTCATAGTTCCATAAAACATTCCCTGTATCACACATTAGAATTTACTTGGGTTTGCTTAACAACCCCACCCACCAAAAAAAAAACGATTCCTCATAGCTTCCCCAAGTGGTGGATGTCCCATTATTGGGAGAACAGAAAATCATGGGACTCAGCTGCCACATCGAACACTGGATGCAGTGGATGGACTCAGCTTTGCTGGAAAACCATTGTGACTTCAACCGTTGTTCAACCCCCTTTTTTTGTTTGGATATGGCCCCCCTAACCATGGTTATATACATATATATATATACAGACACACATCTGCATAAGTTGATCTAAATTGCCAGAATTGACTCATCGAACTGTTCGGCTATAGTTTTCTGGATGGTTCCCCCAATCCCAACAAAACATCCATTTTAACCCTCAAAAACCCAAGAAATTCCCGTTGTGAGATCTATCGGTATTCCAAGCCACTCTCAGCTCCAACATCATCCAATCCTCCCAGGAGAACTTGGAGAAGAGTGGCTCGCCGGAGCCTCGGGGGTTACGAAACTGTGACGAAATGCCAGAGATTTTGGGACCTTTAACCAACAACTCTTGGGATTTTTACACATAGAAAAAATAGAAAAACATGGATAAACATGGGATTTACAGTTTTTTGGGATATGATGGGATATATGATCAACAATATGATTCGTTTGGATGTCTCTGAACATGGGGGATTCATAACTCCACGGAACATGATGAACCACTGGATGGTTGGTTGGGTTTTCCCATCATTTTCTGACAACCAAAATAGTGGATGAATCAATGGGAAATCTTCACATCATCGGCTCAGAACATCCAGGCCTTCATGGGAAGAACCTTCTAGTTCTTTGCGAGTTGCAGATCTTCAGCATCCAAAATCACCCAAAAAAAAATCAAAGAAAATCACCTCAGGCACTTCTGTATCATATATATACTCATAACCAAAAAAAAATCCAACAAATTCAGAAAAGTGATTCCTCCCCAGGCTCCAGCCCATCTCCAAGCAGCCGATGTCCATCAAATCCAGAAGTTTCCAGGGATCCACTTCTTCCAACGGCGGAACCTCGCCCTCGCCAGCCGGGGTCGCGACGTCCACGCCGTTCTCGGGGTGGTCGCCCAACCTTGGGGAACCAGAAAAAAACTGGGGCGACCAACCAATACACACGTGTATGTATATATATATATAACATATATCTTACATATGCATATAGATATATAATATATAACATCTATTCAAAACAAATATAACGCATACATATGTATATAGATCTAACACATACATATGCATATATATATATGATATATGTCTATATCAATATACCATTTATGATTACATAATAAATATGCAAATCAATATCTGTGTCTCGCCGTCTCGGACCAAGGCGCATTCCGACCGGAAGAAGCTTGGGCTTCTCGATGCGCCGCCGCTTCACGGGGTCCTGCCAGTCCTGAGGCTCCGACGAGCTGCCGCTGTGACATATCAGGTGATTTTCCAGGTGATTTCACGGTGATTTAAGATATTCAATGGGGTTTAAAAGCGTGATTTATCATGATCTATCTATATTCTATAAGGTAAACTAAGAAAAAGAGGTGGAAAACAAATGGTTTCCGTTTACGAAAATGACCTGCAAACGGTGGAGTTTTCCACATCTGTGTGAGTTTGCAGGAGAGTAAGTGTAAGAAATTTATTGAAGGGTCTTTGATTTTGAAGATCAGATATAGTTTGATGTTGACCTAAATTAGATGTAAAAGATTGAGACTTAATTAATGTTATATTTATATAGATATGTTTGATTTAGAACTGACACATGATGAATTATGATGACATTTTGACAGCACGTGTTTAAAAGTCACGAAGCAATAGCCCAGGATGATGATGATGATGATGATGATGATGATGATGATGTAGATCCAGCAAGTTGTTGGTTGATCGAAGTACATGTGACAAGTTCCATGGTCAAGTTACATAGGATCTATGCATACAATCGGTATGGTGTATATATATGTAATATACAGCCAACTTGTGATGATATATGGCTGATGGTCATCCCACCATCATTGGGGAACAAATTGTAATAGGCATACAAATCCCCATGAAAATGGATTGGTGGCCTTCCTCCAATCTGGGTATCTAATCCAACTAACTTGACTATGGCACACATGAAAATGGAAATGTTCATGCAACTGCAAATGAGGACAAGTGAGCAAGAAGAACCAGAGATGCAAGCATCTGATAGTTCAAACAAGTTAAAAAAGAAGACACAGGCCACAGGCCCTCGAGAAAGCATAAAATCCCCTGTGTACAAATGAGATCAATCTGCCATTCCGTCCACTCCTGGTTTCCCAGCTGGGCGATGATTTCAAATTGGAAAATCCCTGAGCCATCAACAAACAGGGGCTTTAAACACTACTCAAACATGTCTGGCTCAAAAAAAACCATCGTCATCAAGATATTATATAAAATATATTGTATTATATGATATGTGTGTGTGCACCCTATGGTTATTTAACAGTTTGCTATGAAAAATCACGATGCTTAATATATAAGTAAATCATTAGAAAGCATCATTAAATCTATATATGGCCATGGCTTGCATAGCAAACTGTTAAATAACCTAAGGGTTCTATGTAACTTGTATTGATGGTGGGAATTTGGCCCGTATGATGTCCCACGCTAAGCAGCATCTCGAGTCGATGATTCTCAACATAAAGTCATCATTGAGACACAACTTATACTATACAAAAATCGGCAAACATGGTGATATTGGCAGAGAAAACTCTACTATCAAGCTAATTACTGACATTATAAGCCCAGCCAAGGTTCATCTCATTCCCAAGGTAATTTAAGCCCACTTACCACATCCCAGGGTTTTGATTTCAGCATTGATGTCCCACATCCAAACCATCATCGATGAGGCTTGGGCTGTCTTGACATACTTTCTCCTGGATCCATCATGCCTCCATCTCCCCTACATTTTATGAATTTCACTGGGATGAATTCTTTACCATGTCTTTACCATTCTTGAGGTTTTTCTTCAATATCTTTGAGTTCATCTGTTTCCACTAACTCAAAGGGGTTCAACGCACAAAAGATGGATTTACCCTGAAGACTTCAGAATACCCTCAATTTACATGGATTTGAATAGATGTATCTATGATTTCAGTCCCGAATTTCTTCAGAAATCAATAGAAATACTGAGATTTTCCAACGTTCAATGAATTCAGATGTTCTGCCAGCAGCTGATTTACAGGGCCTAGGTACTTCCTGGCGCCGTTTCCATTTGCTGAGGACCGTTTGCCACTCGCGAAGCTTTTCCTGGGACTGCAGCTCGATGGGAAATTTCACCCAAAAATTGGGATTAAAATTTGACACATCCGATTGTACCCTCCAGGCACCCAACCATCAAAATCATGTTTTACACAAGAAAGTTAGCACTTTTACCATTTTTTCTATTTGTTTGAGGTTTTTTGAGGGTGATCATCTTTAAATTGCAAACATGATGATTTTTAGCTAGCCGAGGTGCCTTCAACGGATTGTTTTTTTCGTTTGCAAATAGATCTGGGATTGGTCGTTCCGCCACCTATTGGGACAGGACTTTAGAAAAAAAACAATCAACATGTTCTGGACATGATGCTAGTCGGAGCCCCCAACCTCCCAGCAAAAGAGATGGACAAAAAAATGCAAGGTGGTGCCCCATAGTTAGCAAAGTTGGTAAACATAACTCCGTTTTCACTAGGATATACATAATATATATATAATCATATTCTCTATAGTATTATATAGTATTCATTTACGAAGTGGGTACCCTCCACCATCATGTAAGCCCCCCCTTATGTCTGCTCATGGATATTCATGGGGGTTATAAACCAACATAAACCAATAGTATTATCATATTATTCATAGTATTATCATATATCATGTTGTTTATGATGCATATATCATCATACTGCCCATAGATATCCATAGTATTCTGGTTGGTGGTTGAGCCACCCCTCTGAAAACTATGAGTTCATCAGTTGGGATGATGACATTCCCATATATTATGGAAAGTCATAAAAGTCCATGGTTCCAAACCACCAACCAGATTTAGCTATCTAAATATCATCTAATAAATGCAGTAAATGCCATATGAATCACCAGTTTGATCATATCATCCATAGATATCCATAGAATATCATAATATTACATACATATATATCCCATGAATGTGGATCAATAACCACCATCTTTAACGGTTAAATCACCAATTTTCCATAGTCAAGTCACCTTGAACCATGCCGTAGGTCTCAAATCTTCAACCTCGAAGATAGGGCCATAGGGCCGCGGAGACTTAACCGTGAAATGCCAAGAGATCTCGACATTCTACAGGAATCCCCGGCAATGGCAGGTAAATACCTGGTAAATACCTGGGTGGTTTCCTGCACATGTTCCCCTAAACCAATCGATTCCCACAGTGGTTAAGCAGTTGGCCAAGCGGGATAAGCTGGGAGAAATGCTAAGCTCAGCTCAAAAGCCAAGGCGGGGCCTGGTTTGCATATTAATTCCCAGGAACTTCAGTTGTCAATATATGCCCCAGCAGCGTCCACATTTGGATAATTACAACTGCTTGGTGGTTTTGACCATCTTGAAAAATATGAAAGTCAGTTGGGATGATTATTCCCAATATATGGGAACATGAAACATGTTCCAAACCACCAACCCGAAGGTAAAATCATATAATCCCCATAGATTCATCAAAATGTGAATGTCTCGTTTAGCAAATCTGTAGCCGTAGCCGCCCTCCTCGTTAAGCTACAGCCTGTCCTGGTGAAATCCAATAAGTGTCCAGGCAAAATCTCCATCTTACCCTAAATCATCATAAATCATCTAGGGTGATCCTCCAAACACCGACTCAATCCTAGATATGCACTTTTCTATGGAAACTATGGCCGACTTATAGGTGATTTATGACGATTTATGATTTGCCTATAACAAATAATGAGCTTTCATAGCTACCTTAAATAACACTAAATAACCAGAAGGTACATCATGCAAAAAGATCCTTTAAAGCTGGTGAGCACACGGATATTTACGGCACAAATTAAAGGTGCTTTTCCAGCAAGTCTGTCGGTCGTCCCCCGGCAACAGGAATGGGGGCCCGCAACAGGCAGCCAGTAAGTAGAACCAACAACCAGTCAACTGTGAAAGAAGTACCCTCTGGTTATGACTAAAATAGCTATTGAAAATGGCCATAGAAATAGTGGATTTTCCCATTAAAAATGGTGAATCTTTCCATAGTTACGTTAGTTTACCAGAGGGTAATTATCACACTAGCCATATGCTCCATGTATGGTAAAATTGCCTACATATGCCTACATCATCCCACATCACTGGGTCATTCTTGGAGTAAATGCTGGGAAGTAGGATAAATATTCCTGCACCATGAAGCGCATTTGGGTATCTCGGACTTGAGCTTCCCCAAGTCCAAAAGATAGTCCATGCTTGTCCACTTTTCTTGGTGGACGCAAATATGTTCATCTAATTTCAATATGTTATCTCTCTCTAATGAATTTCAAACGGTTGATGTGGAACAATTTGGAACAATTATGGTCAACCAATTGTAGTCAATCCAACTATTTAGTTACCATACTTAAGTGACTAAACAGGTGAAAATCAATATCTCAACTTGACTCATCTCAAATGCTTGTGGAAATACGGTGCTTAAATTTATGTCGACATCACTCTCCGACCCAGGGACCCGGCCCGGAGTTCTGAGTTCTCCAAGGCGCTCGTTGAACCAATTTCTTTTCTGCCATCCATTGCTTCAGGTCTTCGTTACTTTCCTCCTCACCGTCCCAGACGAAGCAAATCTCCTCGCCGGATTGATTTCAGCCAGACGGGTGTGCAAGTATAATTAGATATAATAACTATAGGCATATATATTTACACAGTTTTATACATATATGTGCATAAATATAGACAATATAGATATAGGAATAAATTTGACAAAGATGAGTTTCACTTCTGCTTTCCCCTGAGCCAATTCTCGAATTCATTGAATAATATTGAATAGTTGAGGCGAGCAAGCAGCAAGCGGATATGAAATGAGACGATGAGCCGCGCATTCCCTGCTCAACTTGTTCTGGCATCCCTTGGCGCGTCTCCTGAAAGCCCTCTTCCTCCGAGGGAATGGTAAACTTTTCGAAGGATCGTGCCAACTCGTTCTCATGTTGCTCCTGAAAGGGCGACATGTAATTTAACATAGCTATTGAAAATGGCCCATAGAAATAGTTGATTTACCCATGAGAAATGGTGATTTTCCATAGCAAACTGCTAGTTTACCAGAGGGTATATCCCATTAATATCCCATTAAATCACTATAAAATCCCATTAAATTACCATAAATCCCATGAAATCCCATTCAAATCCCATTAAATCACTATAAATTACCAGATGATCAAAACTTTTCTCCCAGATTTGTCTACCTGGAACAGGCCGGAGCAACCAGAACGGTTGATCGGGTTAGGGTTAGACTGGCAATTCACCAACATCAACGGGCTACAAACCCAGGAGCCGTTACGGTGCCATAATGGCCCAGAGGGCAACACAAGAATTTCACTCCAAGCTGTGTTTGACATCATTCCATTCTTGATGAAACATGGAACCCGTGGAAATGTCAGGTGCCTAACATCTTGTAATTAGGGCCACTTGATGTATCCTAAGCCGGCTGGCTTTTCCGGTCCTCATGCGTTGGTCATTGGTCGTTTCACAACCGCTGATTTGGCATCTTAAGCCTCTTAAATATTAAGAACATCTGGGCACAATGGCTGTTTGCTGCATATTGCAATACGTGAACATCCCAAACTTCAACCATGGTTATTCAGCATCTGCAGCTGCAATTTCTGCACACATCTCTTGGGTTTGCTCAACCAGGCTGATCATGTTGATTCCCCATTTCGGGTGGATAATAAATCTGGTTGGTTGTGCAATAACCATCTTGAAAAATATGAACGTCAATGGGAAGGATGACATCCTGTATATGAAATGGAAAATAAAAGCCATGTTCCAAACCACCAACCAGAGCGTAAAATCATATAACCTCCATGATTTAAAAAAAACCGTCTATACCATGTTCCAAACCACCACTTTAGTCCCACTTTAGCAACAGCACAGTCAGAGTCGAAACGCTGACTGTCCTTGGTTAGACAGTAGCCTATGCACACGTGAGCCACACCCTATCAAAGCGGTCATCTTTGGACCCTATCGGAATGTTCTCCAGTGCTTTCGAAGTCCTGCGAAAACCAGAGGCACAATGAGCCAGCAACCAATCGTCAACCCAGGCTAATCTCTGGCAGCTCCATGGCACAGCAAGACATCCAGTATGCATCAGGATTGCACGGGACTGTGGGCGCCCGTATTGAAATGCACATTTGGTACCATGGTGTCTAAGGCATTCACGAAGCACTTTGCTAAACCACCTAGCTCGAACCAGAAAAGACAGGGCCAACAGGTCAGCATGTGGAGTCATTCGACCAGGTTTCCATCCATCAAGGTTAGTTGGGGCAGCTTCACCACACAACATGAAATCAACATACAGCTGAAACTGTGACACCCACTGTATCTCTGCAGTTGACCCATAGGTAGCCTGCCAAAACCATGAGAGAACCTGACGCACAACTTCATCCCCATACCACCGAACCGCAGTCTGAGGTATTGTCAACGGCCCCAACGGTGTCCACTGCTCACTTGACGCATGCATTGGGACACCCATCTCTCCACGCTCAATAAGCTCAGAAGAATCTCGCTCATTCACAACTGTCTTACTTATGGCAAGCATGGTGGTTTGGACTTCACGGGAAATTCGCTGGCACGCAACCGTTGCATTAACATGTCTGGCAAATAAGGTCCAAAAGGAATCAGGCCTCATTCTTTGTGCAGCCATTGCAGTCTGGTCGGCAAAAGCATTATGTGTAAAACACCATTCTTCCACCGGAGAACAAGCATGACTTACCTTCTGATGAGAAACCACTTTATGAATCACAACCTGACCTCTTTGAAAATCTCCAAGACACTGATATACAAGCTTCCACAAGTCAGAATGGGCACAATTCGGCTTTGGCTCATGCCCCTCAAGCAGTCGCAAGAATCGCCTCACCACCGCACCGCAATCAGTCCACAAATGCACTTCTTGCTTTTGGTGACGCCCAATACACAGCGCTCTCCAGACCGCAAAAATCTCTGCACGATATGAACTTTGCAGCAGGCCCGGCAACGGACCCATGTCAAGGATTTGACTCAATTCCGGCTGTCTGGGATCAGCAGCCACAACACCCCATGCTGCCAAACGACATGACGGGAAGGCTTGGTTCAGACAACTTCCATCCGTGAAAACATGTAGCTCATGCAAAACAGGTTCAATAGGCACAGCAACGGGAATGCTGAGTTGAGCCAACACCTGACTCCATTCCAGCAAGGTATGAGGCCGCAAACTCCATCCATATCCTGTGAGAAATTCAGGGGCAGTAGGCAAAAGTGCCAGGGTATCAGGTGATACCGCAGCCCTCTCCTTGCAGAATTGGGGACACTCCCAAAACCTATGATACCTACTATCCGTGCAGGGGCAATACGGGCACTGGTCAGTTCCATCCTCTTGGCAATGCACCTTTGCATCCTGAGTGATATGGCACCCATTTAAGCACTTCATAAACAGATCACGCTCCTCATTCGCAAGGGTCCTGAGAAACGCTCGAGTGTCAGAGGCATCCGCTTGGTGAAGGTTACTCAACCCCGGGCGGTGTTGGACTTGTTGCGCGACCATCATTTGCCATGCCCATTGTGCTCTGGCAACAATTTCAGTCATGCTGGCATCAAACAAGGAAAACGGGCCAAGGAAATCATGGACCAAACCCTTCCCATCAATGTGCCACCCGAGGATTTGCAACCGGTCGAGCAAAGTGACCGTGACCGTATTGGAAGGCAAGACATCTGGATTCCCAACCACCTCACCTAGCGCATGACACACTTGAACCGGGTCACCACAATCACGGGCGCATCTTACAGTTTGCACAATAGCCCAAAATTGAGGGTCAACCAGGGGGTGTTCAATAAGCCCCAGCTGGATCCAAGCATTGGTGCCTGCACCATCCATGTCAAGCCCTTTCATTGCACCAGTTCGCAACTTGTGAAACGCCGCATCACTCAGGGCCGTAGAGGCCACAGCATGGAGAGCCCTGGGCCAGGCCGCAACCAACACAGCACGAATCTTAGTGGAGTAAGAGCAAGCAGAAATCCTCATTTTTGCCCACAGGTCAGGCATAGATTGCACACGCTCCATGAGAAAGGCATTGGTATGCTTTCTGGACATTTGCACATGAGCTCCCAGGTTCTTAGCAGCCAGCACAACACGGAATCCTTGCCTCTTCAATGTGCTACGCCCTTCATTAGAGAGGGACCAAGCAAACGTTTTCTTCACATCAAGCTGCAAGTCAACTGCCTCAACAAAAGCATCAAGGCATCTTTTCGCACCAGCCAACATCATGCTGCTGGGACAAATCAGTTGCCAGTCATCCACATAAGAAATGGGAGTGCACATCGGGAAGAAAACCCTATGCCAGGCATGAAAGGCCGTGTCAAGCAAGAGCATCGCCACACAACTTAAGCCACATCCCTCAGGAAACCCAGTGACACTAGGAATTCCAGCAGTAAGAGAGCCCCTCAGCAGAAATCGTCTTTGCATCTTCGAGAGGGCTCCCGCCCATCCGACCAACATGTAGCCTGGCAGACCCATGTGTGCAGCAATCTCAAAGACAACCACCCTCGGCAGCATATTGAAAGCTTTCTGCAAATCCGCAACCATCCCAGAAAGGTCAATTGAGTGAAGAAAGGAGTGCTCTATACACCAGAGCAGCTTGGCCCATACCTGCCCAGCATACCGCCCAGGACGGCTACCATAGAGGCTGTCAGGCAACAGCGGTTCCAATGCAGCCAATGCTTTTCTTGCATGATAAGAGCTCCATGTTCTATACAAAAGAGAGAACACAGTGATGGGTCGAAAGTCAGCAGGCGACCCTGGAGAAGACACCTTTGCTAAGCTGACAACCTTGCCCTGCACCAATTGACTCGGCCAGTCCCCTGTCTGTTCAGATTCCTGAAACATCGAGCAGAAGGCAGACAACACCTGAATAGGCATGCATTTCAAATCCGCTAACGTCACTCCATCCAAACCATGTGATGTTGATTTCTTCTTGTGCCTCAAAATGCCCTTCAGGTCTCCTGCTTGTAGAGATGGCCAGTAAAAACTACCAGGAGGCAGATGTCTCCGACAGAATTCAACAATGACTTCCCATCGCGCAACAGGGACATCCAAATGCCGCATCCACCGGTCTTTCCACACTTGCAAGAAGGCAGTTTCCAACTCATCCAGTCGTCCCACATATTTGGTCTGGTTCACAACAGACCCAACCTTAACATGAGAGACATCGTCAACCCAGACAGCATCCGAATCATGATGAGCCACATTCAGAGGACGACCATCACAGGAAATAACCACGTCAGGTGCAAACTCACATGGCTTATCAAGGGTTAACATCCCAGTGTCAGCATCAACATCTTCGACCTTGGCCCGGATAGGTTGCAGCAAAACGTCAACCCCTGGCACCATTGGAGGCCGAATGTCAGCAAAAACAAGATTTGGATTCATGTCACGCCTGAACCGAGCATACTGCCTTGATTGTTGTCGCAGCAGGGTCTCAAAAGTTCTCACCGCCATCACCAGAGAGTCAAACATACCTCTAGCAATCACAGCATTGGGAGGAAATTCAGGACACACCGCAGGTGCGTCAGATGTTTTGGTATCACATTCATTCCACCATGTCACAAAATCAGGCGCAAAACCACTGGCATGAAGAATAGAACTCCACGACTCCACACGCTGAACACCCAAGGGCTTGGAACTAGAGGCAAGTCGTACATAGGCCTGAAGTCTTCTGGTCTGGCGCACCCACTGAGCATGGCGCACTGACGGTCCATGGTACTCAGGTTGAAACTCACCTTGACGCCCAACCTTAATTGGAGGAGCACATGGAGCCCTGGCTTGTCTGGGAGCAGTGCGGCCAGCACGGCCCAACATGGCTTTTGCTACATGTCGGTCACTCCGCTTCACAGCATCCTGCTCAATCTCATTCCACAACTGTTGGTAACCAGCAGTCATATCACCACCAGAATTCCAGGCAACATC